TGTTCTAGAAAAATATACACCTTTACTCAGTGTAAAAAAAAGTCCGCGATACCATATGTCTATTTCTTATACATAAGCCATAATTTGGTATTTTGTGACAAAAAAAAATATTGAAAATTTAAAAGTGATTTATAAGCCTTATTTATCCTTTCGAACGAAAGTTACTTCATCATCAAGACAATTTTATGAAGATAAACTTTGTTCTTTATACCATGTTATTTGGTCGCATAGTTTAAGAGATAATGTAAAATTAAAATAATTCAATACTTGGCTGGTCGCGCGAACGACGCTTAAACCCTAGCCGTTATAAAATGCTTGAACTAGGTCATGTCGTGCACCTCGGACACGTGATGACGCGGGTGAAACCGCGGGGCACAGCTAGTACTTTATAAGAGTGAAGTAAAATTTTATCTACTCTTTCTTCCGGGTGAGCTCACCCTCCCACATGAGTGTCAATACGAAATGATCCTTGATAAATTTGCTATCAACCTATATACATACAAAAGCGATATCACTTATAGTTTCCGCGCAATTTGCCACGAAATATGAACACTATTATTTGTATATGTTTTTTGCTCAAAGTTTAGTTTTCTCAAAAGTTTCCCACTATATCGCGAAGATATGTATGACTAAAGTAAAGAATAGAACATGCTCTATACGAAGAGGTATAATTTATTTCTAAACTCTTTCATTTCACTTTGCTATGCTATTTTGAAAATTCACTGTACCTACACACTTTACATGTTTAGTGGTACAGTTTTCTTTAAAACTAGAAAAAACCGCGATTGAGCAAACTATCTGGGGCGCGTGGTGATGACGCTCACCCGGCAGGGGGAGAAAGAGTGGATAAAATTTAACTTCGATCTATAACGTACATATGCCGATAGATAAAAGTGCTCGATTAATTTTGCCAATTTTTCCATACATTGCTATCTAGAATGCTTGAACTAATTAGGTGGATGGTAAGTTCGATTCTCACTTTAGTTTTATACAAAAAATAATTATGTGTTTATTAAAGTTCTTCCCTCAACTACTTTTGATTTTTGACAACATTTGTAGAAATTTATTATTACTTAAATTAGTTATACATCTAAAGTTTAATTTGTCCTATCTCTTCGACTGCTTTTAGTCTATGGCAGAGGCTTGGTCTATTCAAAGACAACAAAGGCACCGCTTGAAGCGTACTTGACACCTATGTATGTCTGAAAAATTTAGTTTTCACACATAGCATAACAACAAGTTAATAACTATCCATTTAAATCTAGACTAAGTCGAGAGCCATTATAATAGTTATTGCAAAGCAACTGTATAAAGTCCCATTCAAATTCTGCATCTTCAACCCGCAAATTAATTTAACCCACCTAAGTACGTATCGGGCCTTTAACCAAAGCTCAATATATAGTGGACACCGTATTGTTAGCGAAAGCTTTGGAGCATTGATCTCAATTTTCATCGAACCGGTCGGCATTAACAGGACTCTAGCGGGGGCAGAGGACCGGTCGTCACAGTGGCATACATTTTGAGTGCGCGTACAGAGTATAACGTCCTCTAGATATAACAACTAAATCGTTTTACGCATGCATTTTCAACTTTGTAATTGCAATTATAAAAAAAAAAATTAAGTTCGATTTACCTCTCTGTTTATATAATGTTTTTGGAAGTTTTTTTTTATAGAATAAGGGTGACAAACGAGCACACAGTTCACCTGATGGTAAGTGGTTGCTGTGGCCCATAGACATCTACATCTATCTCCGTTTGCGAATTAAAATGCAGATGCGTTTTCACCCGTGAAGACTAAGATAGAATGCCTCTTTTCCAGTAAAAAGGCTCTCCGGTTCTCTACACTCACCATACGAAACACAGTAGCTTTAAGCTGCTATTTTACGCTGGTTTTCTGTGAGAGCGTGGTCCTTCCCCGGTCGAGCCGACCTATTCGTGCTACAACCATAATATAGCTGCAGCATGGCTCTACCACGTACTCCTTTTAAAAGGCCGGCAACGCACCTACATATCTCCCAGAGTAGCAGTTGTTGATGAGCGGAGGTCATCACTTATCATCCGCAGTGACTTATCATCAACGTAATAAAACGTTCCTTATCTCCCTCTTCTATTAAAAATCTCGATAATCTATTATTCGAATAAAATCCTTTTAAGGCGAGAGAGACTGGAAAGTTTTCGAGATTCGTATACGAGTCGTAAAAGTTCATAAACGTAAGAACGGAGACCCTTTTTACTAGAAACGAAGCATTCCATCGTAGGCCTCAGGGGTGACAACGTATCTGCATTTTCATCCTTGATCGAGGATAGATGTATGGGCCACCGCATCCACTTACCATCAGGCAGACTGTATCCTATTTTGTCACACTTATTCTAAAAAAACGTACATACGTACCAACGTACATATTATTGTACAAACTGAGAAAATGGATGTCTGTACGTGTGTAGGTAACACAGACATCCTTTTCAAAACAGTAGAATTTTACTCAAAGGACATCAAGGTGATTTATTGAGGAATTCCAATTATTGGACTCATTATAATAATTTCTGTCAAGAAATACTCCGTGGCAGTTAGGAATTTGACAATTTTAAATTCCCATGCCTCGGAAAGCTCTTAAGGCCTTTTGGCCAGCCATTATTGCGCCTGATCTCTGTCCCCCTACCATGGAATTGTGAGAGTGAGGGAATAGGGAGTTCGCATGTGCTTACGAACACACTCGTGTTAGTGCAGCATAATTGTTACTTTCCTGTGCAGATGGCTGGTGTCCGTTTAGACTGACCGCCGTGAACAAATTTTAGTCTGGAGCATGAAGCTAACTTCATGGTCTGGAGGGTATTATATAAAAAAATAAAACACGCGTGAGTCTCGTGGAATACTCGGTTAGAACGAAGTTCCTTTCGTAGTATATTATTATTGATAAATGTATTATATTATTATTGATTTACAAATACAAATAAATGAATTACTAGCGTCTATTAAAATGAAGCATCATTTAAAAAATAATATTTCTTTCTTGGCAAGATAAAAAATAAAGCGAGGGAGATGGATATTATTCTATTTCGCTCGCACTATATAAAAGGGGTCGTGACGGAAAAATTTTACACTTTCTTCACACTCAGAAAAAGTACTTCATGGATATTATAACGTCATTTAGGAGAAGGCCTATGCTGGTAGACTTCGTAACAAGGATATTTTTTTTTATAGTAATAGGGTAACAAACGAGCACACAGTCCACCTGATGGTAAGTGGTTGCTGAGGCCCATACACTTCTACATCTATCCTTGTTTGTGAATCAAAATGCAGATGCGTTGTCAGCCTTGAGGACTAAGATAGAATGCCTCGTTTCCAGCAAAAAGGGTCTCTGGTTCTCTACACTCACCATACGAAACACAGCAGCATTAAGCTGCTATTTTACGCTGGTATGCTGTGAAAGCGCGTGGTCCTTCCCATATCGAGCAGACCCATTCGTGCCACAACTATACTATAAATATAGCTACAGCTTGGCTCTACCAAGTAAAAAATATCTATCAATATCTGCAATACCACTAGAGTAACCTACATAGCGCAACGGATCAGTAAATTTAAGTGGCAATGGGCTGAATATACAGCTCGATGAACCGACAACCGATGGGAAATAAGGTTTTAGAATGGCAGCCTCGAAAATGTAATCGAAGTGTAAGGTGACGAGCCACTATATGGGGCGACGATCTGGCAAGATAACTGTGTTCAGTAGTGGACTCGTGATTTTCTGTAGTGATGATGATGTTGATTAAGACATCCAACAACACACATTGAGTAGTGCGGACTACATAAGGTGTTACTTTTTGCTTTTACATGTTCTGCAAGTGTCAGCAGGTTAAGCTTAACGGGACATTTTTAGTAAACAAATGTAAAGTCGACACTTTTGATGTGCACATTGGTAATTTTTAAAAATATTTCGCTTGGTTAGATTCTTTTTAACCGACTTCAAAGAGGAGGTGGTAGGTACTCAATTCGACTGTATTTTTTATGTTTGCAACCTCATAACTTTTTTCTAGGTGAACCGATTTTGATGATTCTTTTTTTATTTCAAATCTGGTACTTCTCACGTGGTCCCATATTACATTTGATCAGGGTCTGACGAGTAGATTTTGAGTTATCCTTAAAAATTTATATTTTATATGTTTAATTTATATTTAATAATTTATTTAAGTCGGTTGTACAATTTTTTTTTTTAATTTTAGCACTTGTTATTCAGGAACATTTGTGAGCGCACGCACATCAACTTGCCAAAGTTTCATCGTACTTGATTGAATTGCATAGGAACGTTTAGAAAACAAAAAACAAAATATATCGCAGGCGCGCATACAAAAATTCATCAAAGTTTCATCGTAATTTTATTGTATTTTGTCATAAAGGACAAACAAAGAAACATTCATTTTTATTATATATCTTTTAATTGACTTTTAAAAGGACAAGGGACTTGTTGAAGCTATGGCGTATCTTTTGTGACTTTCAATAGTGCTTTGTAAATGCCAATTTTGAATAAAAATATTTTGACTTTAACTTGGTCAAAAGAATTTCATTGCCATCACAAAACAAACTCATCATCGACATTAATCGGTTAATGCAGGATTTATGATGAACTGTAATGCCACTAAAGATGCTCCTGAGCCACCTACACCCATTGATTTCTTGCACGTCTTACCAGGTCGTCACTTTATAGGAGTGGGTAATATCGGTTTTTCTGAATATCATATCGAAACTATATATCGATATTTGATATCTGATTTCTAAACACTATATTTAACGTAACTGTAATATATTAAGGGATACACATGATAGGTACATTTATATGATGCTACAGCATATTGTGCTTTTAAAAGTACCTATATATATATGTGTCTTTCACAATAAGCAAGCCAGTAGAGCGAGGAACTTACTCAGCAGCAAGTATCATGTAGTATATAAAAGTGTAAATGTCATAAAGACTAACTTCAAATTTATTGTTTCAACATTCCAGATCGATGAGATGTGGTTGGAAGGACCGCCAGGCGCTTGGGATGGGGCGCGTATAGCGCAGTGGCTGAAGGTACGAACCAGGCTCGGTCTCGCGCAGATACAGCACCACATCGATGAGCACGCACCGCCGGGCAAGTGGACTATGAGAGCCAAGCTCGCTGATGGATCACAGGTATGTTGAATTATTTTGAAATAGTAGTATATAAATAAAACCGTGTAGTGGCGGTTTAAGAATATCCACCACCCCATATCGTCTCGTTGGTAACAAAGGGAGAGAAGAAAAGAGAAACAAACTAGGAGATGGGCAGCAGCAATTTTTCTACCACCAAAAAATAAAAACTGCAATATTGTGCAACTCTTCTTATTCTTTATTAGCCTGTTAAGTCCACTACCAGACTTGGGCCTCTCCCTTTTGAGATAGAATTTGCCTTGCACGTCACGCTTGGTAGGTGGGTAGAGGGTCACAGTGTCAGACTTGATCCTCATCATTTTTTAAAACGTTACCCCCACACTAAGAATTTCTCCTGTATCGTGGGAGCAGTTCACATACATACATTTCACAAGGACAAACATCCAGACCCGGAACAATTATTTGTGAGCCAAACAAATACTTGTTCCATGCGGGATTTAAATCCGGCGGTGGTCAGCTCTGCGACTCGTTGCTAAGCCACTGCGCCACGTAGCCGTGTCTCATCTTTGACGCTGGTGCTCGTCACTTTCGCGAATATATGATATTATGCATGTAAACTTAGTTATTTGAGTGGTAAATACCGTAAGTTCCCAGCTTTCTATTTATAACTCCATTCGAATAAATGATACGGTGCCTTCCAGTTTTACCTGTTACTTGATAATCTATTCAGTATTAATCTATAAACGACACAAGTCAGATGCCCTGTAGTTGTTTATATTAAGGTCTATTTTCGCTTGAGAGAGACATTTTAAATCGAATCTATTCAAATGTAATATTAATTTTAATGATGGTTGAGTTAATAACCCCTGGGAATAGGGTTGCCACCCGTACTATAATATATAGTATCGTACTAAATTTCAGTTAATTGTACTATATATTATAGAAAAATAATATAGTACGAAAAACACTATATTTTTTCCCCTAATTCAACTGCCGCGATTTTTTATATTAACTGTGACTGGAAGTCTGGAACAAGTTTTACGGAAACAAGGTTTTCCGTCATGAATGTTAAATGTAAAGAAGAAAGAAATAGATAATAAATATAATTAAAAATGTATTGTTAATTTTTTTTATATGAAACTGAATTGCTCAGATTCTTATAATTATTTTAAAGGTTGATTGCCAAATTGAAGAGCAATAACAAATTATGGAAAAAATACTTAAAGATTAAAAATAAATTCCTGACTTTCTCAAAAGTACTTTATTTTTGCATCTTTTTTGGAAAAAATACTATAATTGTTCAAAAAAGGTGGCAACCCTACCCAGCAATGAAGTGATCGCTACCAAACTATTTCTAATTTGTTTTGTGTTGTTAAATATATGATTTTTGGTTGTAAGCTGTTATTATATTATAGATATTATTTTTCATAAAAAAGTCTCGCTGGATTTCGTGCTGGTTCTTTCGGAACCAGTGTTAAATTAAACAAAAGAGCGACTTTTAATAAGTATTATTTATAATATATATAGAATAAAAAAGTTTCTGTTTCTGTTTCTATGATATGAAGTTAAATTGTGTATGTGTTGTGGAATGTGTGGTGGCGGCGCGACGTAAGAAAATCCATCAGCCCATTTCGTCACGTGGATGTCGTTAGAGGAGACTATGGGAATCTCCGGATATATCTTAGAATAGAAAATAATCATTTTTATTCAATATAGATTACAAAAATACTTATTACAAGGCATTTAAGTTTCAAGTTACCACTGGTTCGGAAAAAACCTCTGTCCTGGGAAGAACCAGCAAGAAACCCAGCGGGACTTCTTTTTAAAATTAATTTACAATATAATATTTTAACCGTGACAGTTCAGGGGATAAGTGCTCGCTGTAAATTTCACAGTACGCAAGCCACCCGGGTTCGATTCCCGCCGGCATCGGCACGAATGAAATTGTTAATTGCAATTTTAAGTGCTGATTTATCACGTGCTCGGCGGTGAAGGAAAACATCGTGCGGAAACTTGCATGTATTTCGAAATCATGTTAAATTCGCCAACACGCATTGGAGCAGTGCGGCGGACATTTCCTTGCCCTAAAACCCACTCAGAAGTTAGAGGCCTGTGCCCAGCAGTGTGACGTATATAGGCTGTAACTTTAACATTTTTTAAATATTTTCTAAAATTTTAAACATTTCGTAAGATAAATCCGTTATATCCTATGCTTTATGGAACTAATATATCGAGGTTGATGCCTGTTCAAATCTTAACTCTTATTGACGAAGTTGACCACCCCGAAAGGCGTTCGTACCGGAACATGGCCTTTTCTTCACATTTAAGTTTTTGGTTGGATATCATTATTTTGAAAAAAGAAATATCCTTTTATTAATCCAAATAAGTACATGATTGCGTTTTCGCTTAATTTTTCCCTATTTTAAATTTAAACTATAGGAATTAAATGTTGACAAAGTTATTAGTGTGGTTAGTAATAAATACAGTACTTGAAACTAATGGGATCAATAATAACTCTGTACACGCTGAACGTCGATAATTTCCAATTTATTCAGATTTTTTCCTTTGTATACTACTCGCGATCTTCCTTGATGCCAAGTTTCAAATTTCTAAGTATTCTATAAGTGGCATAGGTTTTCCAGTTATAAAACATTAGATTTATAGTGCTTCTTCTACATTTAGAAAGCGTTTATGTTTTCCCTAACCAGCCGGTAATTATACGGTACAGAAAGGACATAAATACACCATTAACTCGTCATAAATTGTTGAACGATTAGTTTGTATAATAATAAAAATACGGGTTTAATATGCTTTCAGTTTACACACTCTCAAAACTGTTTAAATAAATTGGTTTGGTATTAGTTTCTGCGCATTACCGCATAATGCTTAAAGGAATACGAGTTTTAACACTTATTCGTTTTCTACTCTCACACATTACAATTGTTTCACCAGGGTTCAACTGCATTTTGGGTGGGTAACTACGAGCTGCCACCGTTCCAGTTGACAGTCCGGCATGCACCAAGAGTCCTGAGGACAAGCGAACGACTCGTTTGGACTGTTTGTGTGAGGTGAGTCTCTCCATCCGGTTATAATGTGGGGTCTTCAAGGTAAAAGTTAATAGACTTTTGTTAAGCTAAGTCAGTGCGCTTTATCGGCGCATCTTCGGCTACACTACCACTTACTATCAGGTAGGATCGTTTTCGACCATAGCTTATAAATTTGTAATAGTTAAAGACGTTACTTACGTTTGTTTACTTTCACCCTGATTGTATCGTCAAGTGTTTTAATGCCTATATGTCTTCAAATGTGACTTGTATCATCATCATCATCATCATTACAGCCCTTCGCAAATCCACTGCTGAACATAGGCCTCACCCAAGGAATGCCACAAAGCAAGGTCCTGAGCCACCTGCATCCATCGATTTCCTGCATGTCTTACCAGGTCGTCACTTCATCTAGTGGGGGGACACTGTACACTTCGTCCGCCGTTACGAGGCCGCCACTAAAAACATTTTTTCCTAATCGGTTGTCGGTTCTTCGAGCTATATGGCCGGCCCATTGCCACTTCAGCTTACTAATCAGTTGGGCTATGTCAGTCACTCTGGTTCTACTGCGGATATCCTCATTTCTAAGTTTATCTGGCTTTCCATAGCTCGCTGAGCGACCTTGAGTATTTACATAAGGCCAGCAGTGAAAGACCACGTCTCAGTTCCATAAGTCATCACTATCAACACGCACTGGTTGTAAAGCCTCTTTATTGAGTTATACCTGACGAGAATACATACATACATACATATAATCACGCCTCTTTCCCGTAGGGGTAGGCAGAGACCAGTTCTTTCCACTTGCTACGATCCTTACATACTTGTTTTGCTTCGTCCACTTTCATTATTCCCTTCATACATGCTCTACGGTTTAGGGTACTCTTGACCTGGCCTTTTTTCAAGACGTCCCTGATTTGGTCTAGAAATGTCCGCCTAGGTCTACCCCTTCCAACACTTTCATTCACACTCGCCTTATACACTTTTTTCGTCAATCGTTCTTCATTCATTCTCTCGACATGGCCAAACCATCTCAGCATACCTTTCTCAATTTTTGTCACTACATCTTCTTTCAGACCACAACGTTTCCTTACCTCACTATTTCTTAGCCTGTCACTCAGTTTAACTCCTATCATACTTCTTAATGCTCTCATCTCAACTGCATTTATTCTGCTTTCATGTTTCTTCTGCCATACCCAAATTTCACTTCCGTACATGATTGTCTTAACCAACACCCCCTCATGCACAGCCAAACGAGCCTTGTTAGACACCTTCCGACTGCTCATAAAGGAGTGCAAAGCTCCATTCACCATGTTTCCTGCATTCACTCTTCTTTCGATATCACTCTCACACTTTCCATCTCTTGTAAACTTTGAACCCAGATACACAAACTCTTTCACCTGTTCAATTTGTTCATCTTCAATCACGATATTGCTGTCTGTCACTGCCTCATCTTTTTCAAACACCATCACTTTCGTCTTCCTTACATTCATCTTCATTCCCTTTCTAACAAAAGCTCCACTCATAGCAGTTACCATCTCCTGCAACTCCTCGGCCGAAGACGCAAGTAATTGTGCCGTAATTTCCCGAACGCTGTCTAGCCGGGTTGAATCGGTCGATTGACCTCTCGTTCGAAGTTGGACTTAACTAGTCGGTCTATTTGTCCCAAGTAAACATACTCGTTAACAACTTAGTGCTCCCAACAACTACCGGCATAGGTGTGACATGGACGTTATACGTGATCTTTGTTTTGTCCATGTTCGTCTTAAGACCTATCCGTTGGGAGACACTATTGAGGTCATTGAGCATAGTGCTTAGGTCCTCCAGCGATTGTGCCAGAAAGACTATATCGTCGGCATATCGAAGGTGAGTGATGTGCTCGCTGTTGATGTTAATATCTTTTTAGTCCATTAGCTTGAAAACGTATTCCAATGCAGCGGTGAAATGTTTCGGGGATATAACGTCACCCTGTCTTACACCTCTCCGCAGTTGGTCCTACTGTACAAAAACTTCAACACTTCGTTATACCGTCAGTCAACTTGGCACCACTGAAGGGAGTGCAGCACCGAATTGCACCAAATTTCGACAGAATCAAAGGTTTTCTCATAGTCCACGGTAAGGCCTCAGGCGAGGACGGAATTATAGAACTTCTAAAGGACTTCAAGTACCGGTTTTTCACCCGCTTTCAGAAGCTCCGCTATAATTCCATTCTCGCCTGTGGCCTTACCGTTTTTAAGGCGCTGGAGAGTCATTCTAATCTCGCTCAGACTGACGTCCGGAATATCATCGAAATAGTGTGGGATAAGACTTGCTTCTTTTTTGGCCGTGTTGTGGCGGTTAAGAATATCCACTACACTATATCTTCCCGTGGGTGTCGTAAAAGGCGACAGTGGGAATCAGGCAGGAGATGGGCAGCAGCGTCTTACTGATAACAGCAATATCCCAATAAAAAAAATTGCGGTTGCCAACCCGTGACAGCCGCAAGCGTGGCAACTATGGCAATATACCCCCCCAATGAAAAAAATTACGAAAAGACGGCCCCCAGTCTCCGGCGGCCCCGCTATTCCTGGCTACGGTGGCGACCATGGTAACGGCGGGGCAGGTGGTGCTAAGAATTTCCGGTGGAGGTTCGGTTGCCACCTACGATGACTCGACCTGGCAGCTTATAACTCATGCACCATGAGGACTGACGAGAAGAACCTGGAGCTGGAAGAAGAGATAGACAAGTTGCGCTGGAATATTATAGGATTATCCGAAGTCCGAAGAGAGGGGGAGGACACGGTAATCCTCGAATCCGGCAACTTGTTCTATCACCGGGAGGGCGACCATCTGTCCCAAGGAGGTGACGGATTTATCGTCCACAAGTCTCTCGTTAACAACGTTGTAAAGATTGGGAGTGTGTCGACGAGGGTTGCGTACCTTATACTCAGAATCACCAAACGGTATTCGCTGAAGTTCATACAGGTTTACGCACAAACCTCGGCACACCCCGATGAGGAGATGAAGGAAATGTATGATATTTCTAGAGCCACGCATTCCTCCAAAACCCACTATACGGTGTTAATGGGAGACTTCAACGCAAAACTAGGCACAAGAGAGAACGGTTAGCTCTGAAAGTAGGGAAATTCGGAATAGGCCAATGGAACCCAAGGGGCCAGCAGCTAGCCGACTTCATGGAGAAAGAGGGACTCTTTTGATGAACTCTTTCTTCCAAAAGCGGCCCCACGGGAAGTGGACCTGGCCGAGCCCCGACGGTTCGACAAAAAATGAGATTGACTTCATTATGACGATCAGACAACAACTGTTCAGTGATGTCTCCGTGATCGCGAGGGTGAAAACTGGTAGCGGTCACCGAAAGGTTAGAGGCACACTGAACCTAAACGTTAAGTTGGAGAGGTCTCTTCTAATGAAGTCAACGCTCCGTCCCCCTCGTGCTCTAATCCAAACTCCCGAAACCTTTCAGCTCGAGTCAGCCTGGAAGACTGCAATGAAGTGGACGATATAAATGATAAGCTCGTGGAAACTGTTCATGCGGTCGGAGCTAAGTTCTGCAAGACCCGCCGCAGAAGAACACATAAGCTCTCCGATCACACTCTTAATCTCATGGCTGTTAGACGGGAAATGAAGCTGCAGTCTTCAACAGATTTGACAGCATACAGGCAACTGAACAGAGATATCTCCAAATGCATGCGGTGGGACTTACGTAACTTTAATACAGCTTGTATTGAAGAAGCGATCGAGCGGAACCAAAGCTCCAAAGTCCTTGCCAGAGAGCTGTCTGTCAGAAAGAGCCAACTGTCAAAGCTGAAGACCGAATGTAGCAGCATCGTTTCCAGGACAACAGTTTTTAACAGTGGTAGAGCCACGCGGCAGGTTTTGCTGTCGCACGGATGGGCCGGCTCGAACCTGGGTGGTACCACGACCTCACACAATACTAGCGTGAAATAGAGGTTTACTTCTGCGTTTCGTTTGGTGAGTGCAGGTGGCCGGAGGCCCTTTTCACTGGAAATGAGGCATTCCATCTTAATCCTCACGGGTGACAACGCATCTATATTTTGATTTGTAATAGAGTAATGTATTTGCTCCGTGGTCACAGCAACCACTTACCATCTGGTGGACTGTGTGCTCGTTTGTCACCCTTATCCTATAAAAAAAAGGACACCTGAGATTTTGAGTGAAATTGAAAGGTTCTATGGGCAGCTGTACACGTCATCGTTTGAGCCACACGCAAGTGTGAGTAACGATCCAAGAGCGAGTCTTATCCGACACTATTCCATAGTCATTCCGGACGTCAGTCTGAGCGAGATTAAAATAGCTCTCCAGCACCTTAAAAACGGCAAGTCCCCGGACGAGGATGGAATTACAGCGGAGCTTCTGAAAACGGGTGGAAAACCGATACTAGAAGTCTTTCAGAAGCTCTTTAATTACGTCGTCCATGGTGGCGTGGAACCGAAGTGCGGTGGTCTTGTTCATCAAGAAAGGCGATAACGCTCTCTTGAAGAACTACAGACTGATTTCCTTTCTGAGCCGCGCTACGTGCTGTTTTCGAGAGTCATTACGAATCGTTTTGCACACAGACTCGACGACTTCTAGTCTCCTGAATAAGCCGGTATACGAAAAGGCTTTAGTACCTTAGACCACATACACACCCTTCGGCAAATTGTACAGAAGACAGAGGAGTATAATCTGCCACTTTGCCTTGCGTATGTGGACTATGAGAAAGCCTTTGATTCTGTCGAAATTTGGGCGGTGCTACATTCCCTTCAGCGGTGCCAAGTTGACTATCAGTATATCGAAGTGCTGAAGTGTTTGTACAGTAGGGCTACGATGACTATCCGAGTGCAGAACCAGAGTACGAAATCTATCCAACTGCAGAGAGGTGTAAGAGAGGGCGACGTTATATCCCCGAAACTCTTCACCGCTGCATTGGAAGACGTTTTCAAGCTACTGGACTGGAAAGGATACGGTATTAACATCAATGGCGAGTACATCACTCACCTCCGATTCGCCGACGATATAGTCCTTAT